AGATGGGTAGCACAGAGACACCTATGCCAGTTCAATCCCCCCAGGAGTTTCCGTAAGCCTGGGAGATCAAAAATGGCCCATTAAGAGCGCTTTCCAGGTGATGTGCACTGCATGAGCACTGCAAAACTGGTAGGAGGAGAGCTGAAGATCTGTCCCAGTCTCTCTCTCACACACACACATTTACATTCTGAATTTTCTTATGAATATTTCACATGTTTTTATCTAGGCGGGTCTTACTGATGAGGTGTTAATGGTTTCCACACGCACAATATGCGGGCCCCCAAAAGTATATTTTTGTGTAGATTGTCAAAAAAATATGTTTGTTTTTGTTTTGTTCAATCAGTAGAAAGAATTAATCCTCCCCCCGCCAATATATCTATTAATAACGTTTAATAATTTTGCTGGGGTGAGGCCCTACAAGTTTTCCTAAATACTACTCTCTCTATAAAAATGTCTGTGTTCCGTTTTTCCCCAAACAGAGCCCAGTCCAGTTTTTGACATCGAGGCCACAAATATCAGCACAGAACAAGTGATCTTAATGTGGAAAAACAATGACACTGCTGCTCCTCTTTACACATATGTGATATACATTGATGGGAATGGAACTTCTCCTACTCGGAAACAAACCTCCCAAAACGAAAGTGCTGTAATTGTGGGATTACAGCCTGGTACTCCTTATAACTTCACAATAGTTCCACTAGCAGCGGATAATACGACCACAGGAGACTCAAGCAGTCATACACATCTGTACAAGTAAATAATAGAAATCCATAGTATATGTTACTTACAATTGAATGCAGGCATTCTTTCATTCCTCCATTACTCCCCCCAACCCCAATGTGCATATATGTGTTTATGTAATAAAAGTACTCCATATTGTCATCTTGCTGCCTGTTATGTGCTCCAGCCTTTACATTTCTGTTAGAATAAAAGTTTGGCTGTGAAAGCATGTGAGATCATCAAATCACTGATTGGAAATCAGCTCATTTTTCATTCTGAATCTTTCAGAAGTAGAACCAATGTCCTCTTCACCATGGCCAGTTGCTTGATTCTGGCCAAGCTGTGTTCAGCACAAACCTAGAGAGAAGTAGTGCTAACAGTATATAGTATCTATACTTGGGGCTAGAGTTCAATTCCCAGCTCAAGGAGACATGCTTGCATGCTAAAAACAGAGTTTAGCCATGGTGGTGAAAGCAGTGGGATAGGCCAGCTATCCTGAGTATGTGCCTATGGTCTTCGATGGGCGTATACTCCAGGTGGCTAGGCCATTCCTCTGCCATGGCTACACACTTTTTTAGTGTGCTAGCTCAATGAGAGCTGGTACACGTATGTCTCCTTGAGCTAGGGATTACACTACCACCTCCAAGTGTAAACATCCGCTAAGACACATCTTCATTTCTCTAATTTTGAGGCTGGTGGAGGCCAGTTCAACTCCACCATAACTTAGAGCAGTCTAAGGGCTGATCTAAGAGCCAGATTTTCAAAGGTATTCAAGCACGTGAAGATGGAGATTGGTGCTCAGTGGGACTTGTAAAGGTGCATTTAAAAATCCCATTAGGCACATATCTGCATCTTTTGGTTTTTAAATACCCTTGAACATCTGGCCCTAAATATCTCTGGCAGTAATGGTCTCTATGAAGCACTTTGCCAGGGGATCACTCGAGTACAAGATCTCTGTCATACCCCTACACTTGGAAGCAGTATGGGGGCAGGTGGGGCACTGGATGGGTGGCATAGAGACACCAGTTCAATTCCCTCCCCCCCCCAGGAATTTGCCTAAACCAGATGGATCAAAAAATGCCCCATTAAGAACACTTTCCAGGTGCTGTGCACTGCCTGAGTGTTGCAAAACAGCTAGAAGGGGAGCTGAAGGTCTGTCCCTGTCACACTCTCACACACACACACTGAATTTTCTTGTGAATATTTCACTTGCTTTTATCTAGGCATGTCTCAGTGATGAGGTGTTAGTGGTTTCCACATGCACAATATGCAGGTACCCAAAAGTACATTATTGTGTAGATTGGCAAAAAAAAATTGTTTGTTTTGTTTTACTTCAATCAGTAGAAAGAATCAATAAACTTGTAAGTGATTTAGCCTAAAATGGATCCTTTCTTTGGAAAGGTAGCCCAACCAGTGTTTCTCTCCAATGGATTAAGTGCATTTTGTTGTGTCTGTTAACTTGTAGCTAGCTGACATGGTTCTGTTGTACTTTTGTATGTTGTTGGAAAGTATACATGCTTTGTCAAATATGATTTGTAAGGCAGTTTTTCATGCCTCCTGTGTTTCTCCCCACTGTTGGTGCTAGGATAGTTCAGAATTTATCAAGTCACAGTGATAATGGGAATGTTTCCTGGAATCCATGTAACTGGAACATTTAAAATACCATGATCTGTATATGAAACCGAGGAACACAGGGCCAGATTTACTAAGGTATTCAGGTACCTCCAGGGGCAAAGATGTGCCAGGTGGAATTTACAAAAGCATCTGCGCAGGTTATGTGCCTAACTCCCAGTGGGTTGCATTCCCAGTTAAGCACTTTAGTAAATCCCACTGTGATAGTCTTCTGGGGTTCCCAGAATTATAAATTAATATGTTACTCCCTCAGCCTCTGCAAGTGAGTTTTGCTACTGCTAAGCTGTGACACGATTCCCTGACACACCAGCTTATCTGTCTTGCCAGCAAACTCTTCAGGACTCTGCCAGTCCAAACCTTGCTTGGCAGGTAACAAATAGTGAACCTCAATTCCCGAGTTCTTCTTTATAGAAGAAGTCATTCATTCATTCATTCATTGGGGGGAGGGATAGCTCAGTGGTTTGAGCATTGGCTTGCTAACCCCAGGGTTGTGAGTTCAATCCTTGAGGGGGCCATTTAGGGCAAAAATCTGTCTGGGGCTTGGTCCTGCTTTGAGCAGGGGTTGGACTAGATTACCTTCTGAGATTCCCTTCCAACTCTAATAGTCTATGATTCATGAGGTGTCTAATGTCACCCACCTTTTGGGTGGCATACATTCTTTTCAAGCTAGTTGCTTCTTCCTTTGCACTTTTTCCTGCATTTTTAAACACAGTCTAAACCGTAAACCTCAGAATGTTTGGCAGGTTGACATAAAAAGAGAAAAATGGACAGAGAATAAAGGCAAAATGTATACTATAAATCAGAGAAGAAAGGAATATAGCACCATGGGAAGAAAGAAGGAAGACTGAGCATGTGGTATAGAGATGAGAGAGAACAGAAAAATAGCAGAGAACATAAAAGGAAATAGGTGCCAGATAATATTTATTACTTATATATAGTTCTACAGTAAATGTATGTGGTGCTTCACAGGAAGATGAAAACCAGGGTTCCTGCCCTGTAGAGCTTAAGTGGATTAAATAGATAACCATCCAGATTGTTCCACTAACCTCTTTTCTTCTTTTGCAGATGCTGCACCAGTGTCTTCATTTAACTGTACACAAGTGACTAAAGAAGCTAAGTTAACACTAAAGTGGGAGCGCCCTGCTGGTGACATTACTAACTTCACCATTAAGACATTCAGTGATGCCTGGAGCAATGAAACACTGGTTTTGGCTAGTGACCTAGATACAACTGTAACAAATTTAAATTATTCCACCTCCTACAGTGTTAGTATTATAACCCGTTCATGTGGGAAAGAAAGCCTTCCAAAACAAATAACATGTGTTACAAGTATCACTGGTAAGTGTAAAAAGTTTGATGTGGGGTACAGGGACCAAAAAAAAAACCCAACAACCCTCTAAATTACAAAATGCAAAATGTGTAGCATTATACAGTACATGTGAATATTCAAGCTATGAGAGAGAGACTTTATCTTCATTCAAAGTTGTGTGTGAGAATTTATATATTAACTATGTAGAACTAGTATGATCAAAGATATGGACTTTTATTTCCTTACAGCATTTTTATATGAATGGGACACTATTTCTTTGTTGATTTGCTTGATTTTAAAGCTGCTTCTTTAAGAGACATTAAAATGTGCTGGGTAATGTGGGTTTATATGATGTTGCCCAATGTGCAAATTGCAATAATGGGAGAAAATGGTGGGCTTTCTTTGTCACTTTTCCTAGGTAGTTGGAGAAGATAGATATTTCAACATAAGGTATCTTTCTCCTTGATTCACCTTTTCCTTCCCACATGTTGAGATGCTAATTAATATTAATATTTCTCTGTCACAGACCCACCTGCTCCAGTAGAAAAGCCTAATATTACGTCAATCACTCACAACTCCTTTAAAATTCAGTTCAGTGCGTTTGTGTCAAAAAATGGACCGCTAAAGGCCTATGCAATAGTAATCACAACAGCTAAAGGTAAGATGTTAGGATGTTAGCTCCCAGATGTATTATTATTATATCAGACATCATGTGTATATCCATCGGGACAAACTTTTTAGATTCTAAACTAAGTGGAAGGGGAAGAATTACTCCTGATATTTGCAGTTGCTGTTCAGAAACATAGAGTGAAATTCTGGCTCAACTAAAGTCAATGGCAAAACTCTCATTGACTTCATAGGCCAGGATTTCACTCATAGACTTGACTAGCCTGAATTATTCTAGTTCATAGGCCTTTCACAATGTTGCCACTGTGCTATCTGATCAGCTCCCTTATTGGTTTGCCAGCAACACAAACTGCAAAATTGTATAGTGTCTTTTTTTTGTAGAATGATTCTAGGGGCTGGTAATTAACAACTTCTGAATTTTGGGGTGTTTTTCAAGGCTGTGAAGATTATTACAATAAAAATGTCAGAAAGTTGGGGGAGGTGAAGTACTGTTCTCCCATTGTACTAGTAATAGCTTATTGCCATTGGGGGCAGGGATGAAAGTAGAAATAGGGACTTACCGGTACGGGGCTGGGTTGGGGCCGACTCTGGCCCCCAGAAGGGGCGGAGCCTCGGGCAGAAGGAGCGGAGATCGGGGCGGGGGTCAGAGTCAGCCCTGGCCCGCCCCGTACCGGTAAGTGCTCTCCTCCTCCCCTGCCGGGGTAGCAGCAGCAGCAGTTGGGGGCTCCGGCAGCAGTTTAAAGGGCCCAGGGCTCGGCCGCCCCTACCGCCCAGGACCCTTTAAATCGCTGCTGGAGCCCCCGGCTGCCACTACTCCAGGGCTCCGGCAGCAGGGCTCCGGTGGCTATTTAAAGGGCCCAGGGCTCCCCTGCTTCTACCGCCCCAGCCCAGGGCAGTAGAGGCAGCGGGAGCCCTGGCCCTTTAAATAACCAGCAGCGGGGCTCTGGTCGCAATTTAAAGGGCCTGGGGCTCCAGCTACTGGTGGGAGCCCCAGGCCCTTTAAGTTGCCTCCTGGTTAGCCAAGCCGCCCCGGTACAGTGCACCGGCTCTTGCCGGTACACCATACCAGGGCGTACCGGCTTACTTTCACCTCTGATTGGGGTATTTTTATGGATGAAAAGCAGGACGAACATTGTCAGCATCACATGCTAAGGGAAACTAAGGAAGCCATAAGGCTTGCTATGGAGAATTGCTATAAAACACATTATCTTTAAAACATCAAAAATCAAAGAAAAATTTTACTTGGTTAACCACAGTGATAATTCATGAAATCAGCAAGCCTGTTCTTTGCAGGCTAAAATATGTTTCATTCCTGCAAATGAGGGCAGCTGAAATAAGTGGTTCCCCAATGCAGGATTTTATTGACATATAAACAGATATTATGATACCTCAACTTGCCTTTTGTTTTAACAATGAGTATGCATCTCTTAGCAGCTTCCTTTGTGGATCTTCCCTCCCTATTTTTTTAAAGTACACTTTCTTGTACAATAGTGATTACATCACTGATGATACTTGAATAGTTTCTTGTACTCCAGTATCCTCAGTTTGCCTTAATTGACTGCCCCAAAATTACATAGTTAATATCAGTGTTTTATCAATAGATACTTGTATTTTTTTCAGATGCCTCTAACCACTAATATTTAAAGCTGAATCACATGCAAAGCATGGTTCTATATTGTGTTTGTTCACTTGGGCAAGAAAATAGATTTTTCTAGTCGTGACTGATGGAAACTGAAAAGGGAGATACCAATTTGTCAGCATCAGATGCTTTACTGTGAGGGGAAAAGATTTTAGGAAATGGCTCATCCGTCTTGATAAAGTGCAACTTTAATGCTCCAACTGTATAACGTTCAACTGTCTATAATCTTAGTACACTAAATTTAGGGTGGGTTTGTGTTGTTTGGGACATTAATATAACTCATTTGTAACGGTTTTTCACCATTCTCTGCAGAGCAGAAATGGCATCAGCTGCTCTAATGTAAAGCAAGCAGGATTTCAGAGAAACTATTTTGCCTTGAGCCCTGATCCTGCACCATTAAAGGCAATGATTTCAGTGAGCCCTAAGTTCCCCTGTAGCATGCACATAACTGGTTTTTTAGCTGTTAGTTTGCTCACAAAACAACCTTCCCTAGCCTTTCTGCAACCTCCTGTTAGATATTAATTTAATTTAATTCAATTTCCTTTAAAAAGGAGGGTTTATTTTTTAAAAAGCAATAAGTGGGGCTGCCCGAGGGCAGCCTGGAGTACAGCGCTAGAAGACCTCTTCTTATCTCTTCCAGTCCGACACTTCTATGGTTCACTTCTGTGATGTGCACAAATTCCACTAACAGTGGCCAGCTACTTCCTCCTCACGTAACGCTGAACATTTAACTCTGTGTGTTTGCTATGAACTCATCTCTGGCAGCGAGCGATTTGAAATGCATTGTTACCTGATCATTTTTACATGCTTTACCGACATAATCTGCTTCAAAATCCAGGAATTAATTCTTTCCTTGACAGCATCTTAGGGCAGGGATGGGAAGAAACAGCCTAATGTATTTAGACAACCTCGCTTCGTGTTTTGTGATATAAGGTGTTTTTATACCATATTACCCACTCCACCTTCACCTTGGAATTTACAACATTAGATTAAAAATTATGTTTAGAACGTTGTCTTAAGCAATTTGATTTAAAGTGATTGCATGGCTTGATAGCATTACTGATGTCCCAAATTAAGAGTCCAGTCAACACAGGAACCATTTCTTCTGAGTCTTCTGGACTAGGGGCTGTTGATTCCCAAACAACTCCTATTTGGGCTATGTCGACCAGTTCTTTTAATCTCTCCCAACAGCAAGAGGAGGCCGAAGCAGCCCTTACTTCTCAGGTTCTTGAGGTTTATTTGCTAAATCCTGGAATACTAAGTGCCTGTCTTCACTACCAAATTGGGTCCTATTTGTTAACTCGACTCCTCAAGCTCATGTTCTGACTCAGTATTAAGCACAGCTTTGCAGCTAGTGGAGACAGGGACGATGTAGTACCATGGCCTACCAGGTCTGGCTTTGGTCTAGCTGCTGCTTTAGTTTCTCCTCCCTCAGTCTACATCACCCACCCTTGGAGTCTGTTTTTTTTTCTGCAGTAGCTAGGTGTCCAAGTCTCTGCAAAAGGCTAAGTCATTAAAGAAAAAGTCCACCCCTTCCAGGGTCTCCAGCTCCAAAACAAACACAAGAGTCTTCCACCTCAGTCTCAAGCTGGACAAAGCCCCTCCTTCCTGAAGATCTGTCTGTCTTCTTCAAAATCCAGACACACTGTAGCCTGCCATCTTTCCTTCTCACCCCTCATGCTCTCCTGGGCTTCTCTGATTCTCTCCCTGCTCTCTACCAAGCACTGACTGCCAGGGCTTTCTACCTGGAATCTCCCTTCACACCTTTTGGTCCTCTACAAGTTTCTGTTTTAGCTCCACCCCAGAAGGCCTAATTTAGCCACATGATCTGCCTGTTATGTGACTTTGCTTGTTTTCTTTACCTGGACAGGCGGGTAAGTGTGTCATCTCTGAAAGGGCCATTCTTAAAATCACCCAGTGACAGGCAAGTTGTGTTGAATGTCTTGTCAGCTGGCTTTGATAAACCTGTATGTGTCAACTGATCATGGTTAAACACGGCTTGTCCCATCTACACTGACTGCAAAGCTGTGTTAGTTAATGTGGCTCCTCAAGGTCAGGTTCTAACATGATCTGATTTGTCTAGTGAAGACTGTCCTAGAAGGACTTTCAGCAGTGTGCAGTGAAGTTTCAGTACAGAAAACTTCAGTGCAGGTAGTTTTCTGCAGAGAAGTTGTTTGTATATCCAAAAGGTTATTTCTCTGGGGACAAAATAAATAAATTGTTCTACTGTGAAGAGTATCTGAAATTGTCCATATTGCCCTCCGCCTTTAATTTCAGGCAATATTCCACATTTGCTGGAATAGTCATAATTGTTAGTTAGTATTTTACTATTATTGCCCTTGAGCCAGTTACTGTATTTTAAAATATAATTTTACAAAAACATTAGTTGATGTCGGTTGTATATTTGTATTTTCAGAAGGCAATAAACCTACAAATAGCAGCTTGAGCTATACATACAAGGACTTCAAGGAAAAGAAAACAAACACTTACGTAACATATGTCAAAAACATTACGCAAATGAGAGCCTTTTCCTCCCGTTCAGATAGTTCACAATATGAAATGGAAGTAGGAAATGCAGGCACATCGGATGGCTATGCCAATGCACGGCTGGAACCACTTGGTTCATACCGGTATTTATCTTGTTGTTTGTTGTAATCTCCTTGTATACAATTGAAATCTAAGTAGTGATTGGATCACCAGATCATAAATACTACTTGTCAGGCTTCGATTGTTAGTGTAATCTAACGTGACTATTTCATTTTCCCTCCCTCTCATCAGGGCGAGTGTTGCAGGTTTCACTAAAATGGAACTTAACAATGGTATTGTTGAAGAGAGAAGCTACGTATCATTTACACCTTATTCTCAGGAAATTCTATTACCCCAGGATCCAGGTAAAGCTAAAATAAAATGTTGCATTGAATGTTTTGTATATATTGGGCCCAATTGGGTTCTCATTTCAATTCTTGGCAAAACATCCATTGACTTCAATGAAAGGAGGCTTGGGTCTGTTTATCTATAACTTTGTAATGTAATTGGTCTGTAGATTTACAACTGAGCAGTTCTACAAAAACTCTCTTGTATGCATATATTATATAATCCCTACCAGAAAAATTAAAAGTGACAAAACAAACCCTAAACATGATATACTAAAATGAGAGTGGAAAGCTGCTGATACAATAAGACTTTGAGAGATAAGTAAAGTAGAGATTGCAATTATTGTGTTTTTGCAATCCCTGTAAACTAGAGATTGACATGTAGAAAAGAAATGGTGGAATCATTCTCCTATAATCCCAGTATTTTTTGTTTAGCCCCATTCTTACTGCTGTCCCTTATCAACACTTGATATTGGCATCACTTAAAGGTGTTTCGCAATTACAGAGAGGAAAGATGGGCTGCTGGGTAAGGTGCTAGCTGGGGACTTGAGAGACCCAAGTTCAATTCCTTGCTCTGTCACAGACTTCTTGTGCCTCTAGGCCAGATTTTCAGATGTGTTTAAGTGCCTAAAGATCCAGATAGATACATAAGGGGTATGACAGGTGCCACCTAGAACTGGGGTACCACTGAGCCAGCCTGGGCTCCCTTTACACTGTATTGCTGTGACAAGCTCTGAAGCCCCCTTGAGCACACATACAGGTAGGGACACACTCAGCTGCAGTTACATACAGCTCTGCATGGGAAGGCTTCAGCTAAGGAACTTCCCAGCTGCTCAGGCACGCCACCCCCTCTGGAGTGTAAACCCAAAATTATACCGTCTTGCACTGCACAGGGAACTATACAGCGTAAGCTCATGAAATTCACTCCCTCCTTCAATATGGAGAAGAATATACACAACAGCTTTCTGCCCCGAGTTATGATTTCCACACAGACTGGTTTTAGGCAAAGCAAAAACTAGTTTATTAACTACAAAAGATAGATTTTAAGTGATTATAAGGGATAGCAATCAGATCAAAGCAGATTACCTAGCAAATAAACAAAACACGCAAACTAAGCTTAATATACTACATAGATCGGATATGAATAGCAAATTCTCATCCTAAATGATGATACCAGCAGGCTGCAAGTTCTTAAGGGGCAAGCTATGCAGGCTTACAGCTTAGAAATCCCAGGTGTTCTATTCACAAGCTAAAAATCCCTTTAGCCTGGGTCCAGCACTTCCCCCCAGTTCAGACTTTGTTCATCAGGTGTTTCCAGGAGTGTCTTTGGGAGGGGAGTCAGTGAAGAACCACAATGATGTCACTCCCCTGCTTAAATAGCCTTTGCATATGGCGGGAACCCTTTGTTTCAAAGCTTGGTTCCCACTCCAGTCAGTGGAAAAATAGTGGTATCCAAGATGGAGTCCAGCACCAAGTGACCTGGTTACACGTCCCTGTAGTGTTACAGCAGCCATGAGTCGGAGGGTGTTTGTAGCATCCTCAGGAAGCCCCCTCCCCCCAGGTGGGCAATAAGCTTCTTCTAAGGTCTATTGTTCTCTCCTAATGGCTTATTAACCTGAATGGGCCCTTCCCAGCCAGCCATGGAGACTGAGAACCTTTTTGTTTAGTGGGTGTTCCCCATGTGTAAACACAATTTGTAATACAGATACATAGTCAATATTCCTAACTTCAGATATGAAAATGATACATGCATACAAATAGGATAATCATATTCAGTATATTATAACCTTTTCAATTATATCACACATGACCTATCCAGCATAAAATCTCTATGAAGAATATGGGGTGCAGTGTCACAGTGGGATTTTTCAAAATTGCACCAGTGGGATAGATGTCTATCTGTCTTTAGGCAGCTGAATACCTTTGAAAATATGGCCTCTCTGTGTGTAGCTATGGTGTAGCTCCCAGCGCTGGTGCACGGTCTACACTGGCACTATATAGCACTGAAACTTGCTGTGCTCAGGGGGGTGTTTTTTCACACCCCTGAGTGAGACAGTTGCAGCGCTTAAAATTGCCAGTGTAGACAAGTCCTTGGTTTCCAATGACAATTAGAAAACTACTATAATCTTAGTTGTGAGATGATGCAGAAATGCCAAGTTTTTATTCAAACAGACATTATAGGTCAGCTCATTTCATACGGGTGTCCTTTGCATATGAAATTTACTGCAGATAGTAGAAGTCTAAATTGTTAATGGTCGTAATCTTCACTTTCTTATATGACACTTGAATATACTTTCCTCTAAGCTGAGACCTGTCCTTCCTCTTATTGGGCACTGTTTGTAAAATGAATTGCAGATTCAGATTTAAATAGATGTGTCTCAAACTATCTGATTTGCTCCCTGAGTTGGATAGCTCAAAATGCAACTACTCAGGTTGTCCCTTGCAATCAAAATCCAGGTACAAAAATGGAGCCACCCTTCTGAAAATTGTGTCTGTTTAAATAAAACTTGAGGAAGATTAATGGAACTATGGCAGTTTACACCAGCTGACAATCTGCCCCTTGGTTGCTTTACACCATCTCTTCACTCTGAATACAGTATCTTCCTAATAGTTAATGATTGTTAACTGGAGTGGGAGGTAAAAATCAATTATTATCATTGCTTATGAGTCTGTAAACAGCAATGGATACATCATTTTATTTTTGTAAAATCTTTAACCATATCCTTTTCTTGTTTCTTGACATTAGAAATTCACATTAGCGTCCATTGTAGCCTGTTGATATGTTGGATCATTGTTGATTTGATAGATAATTCATGAAAAGTTTCTGTTTTTATCCTCCCATAAGGTGTCATCACTGGAGCTGTTATTGGATGTATTTTGGGTGCTGTGGCTATAACTACTGTAGTGGTATTCGTTTTCTGGAGACGGAGAAGGTAACACATATTAACTATTGCATTCACTTCTGTAAAGAGCATCACATTATTTCACCAATACAATAAAAATAATAATAAATACCTAGCCCTTCTATAATGCTTTTCATAATGAGGCAGAAGCCAGCATTATTCTTGTTTCCTATACTTTAAAAAGCAATGTTTTAAAATAAGCTTTATAGATACAAAATGTTTATTTATATCACAGTAATTCAAAGTAGATCGTTCAAACTCACTTAGATGATTTTGTTGCGGAAACAAAGTCTTCATCATGACTGTATCACTGAGCAAATTCTGCTCTGTTACATTGGTGTAAATTCAGATTTACATTGATATTTGTGTAATTCAGATCAGAATTAGACTAATTGTCATGTATGTATAGTGCTCCATAGCACATTTGTAATTAGTACGTCAATGATCACATTAAGGTACCATTAGCGTGTGTCAGCAGGGTGCACAGAGACAGTTAGAGTGTGCCAAGCTGGTGCGGGGTAGATTTACATCCCAGCTTACCGCAAACTAGATGATTGTGTAGACAAGCTCTGACGATATCTTATATAGGCTTTTTTTTTTCTCAATTGGCCACACTGGAACCCAACTTGTGGTCTGAGATTTCCTTTCTGGAGGTAATGGCAAAGCTAAGTGGAAAAGATCTAACGGAAAATTTGTCAAAAGTTGTCCTAGAAAATCTGTGAGAAAATACATGTGCTCCTCTAGAAAGCTGAGATGTGCTGAGAGTGTCTCTAATTCCTGAGTCTTTTCCAGACAATCTGGAGTCCATCAAGGCTCTTTTTCTTCTCATGTTACCAGTCAAATTATGCAGAGCATACATTCTAAAATGCCACTAAAAGACATTTTAGCCTTTTTTGATTTTCTTTTGCCTTCTTGTTCTGGTTGCTGTTTCCTTCCCGTGAGCTTCCATCTTTGACCAACACTTGCTTCCTATGTAGAAGATCCAGGAGAGCAGCTTTCTTTGAAGATATGAAGATCCTTTTTATTCAAACAGCAAGGGTGTAAACACATTGAATAAACATTTGACTTTTTAAATCATTATGTAGCATTTAGAGTCCTATTTCCACGTCCTTTTCTACAATGAGATTTTAGCCCTGGTGCATATTCTTAGTATAGACACAGCTTACATTGGTGCAATATGATTTTTAATAATGCGGTTGACCCTGGTTCCAAACTGGGAAAAGCTGAACCAATGTAAACCGGGGATCTGCACTGGTACAGCTACACCAGTGGCTAAGATTGCCGTATAGACAAAGCTTGGGTCTGTTCCCTGTCTCTCAACTCTATTAGAACAGACTAACACTTGTCTATTGTTCATTCATGATCAATGAATTTCTTATTAATGATTTTACTGCTCACTGTAAGTGTAGGGCATAAGGGCAGCCGCAGTTAGGGTTTCTTGCACAAGATCAGATGGTATATGAAAAACTATCATGAACCAGCCACAGAAAGAGCTTCTGCCAGGAATCTCATTTGTGTTCTGCATACATTCTTCTAATCTCTTCCCACCCCTTCCCAACAGGAAAGATGGAAAAAATAGTGAGCTGCCCTTTTCTCCAATTAGGTGAGTTAAATATTCTTTCATCCACTATTTTCTGAATTTACGTAAATATTGGCAAGACTTGTTCTGAACTCTGATAGTGGTGTACTATACAATTTTCTGGAGTGGAGTTCCTGGTATTAGAGCTTTGAACACTTTATTTCCTTATGGAATTCAGGGAACCAAACATAACATACTGCTGTCTAAAAATAATTATGTAGAGACTTTCAATGCTGCCAAATGGATTTGAACACCCACTTCCAGTTAAAATTAATGGGAATTAGATGACCAAGTCCCGTAGGTGGCTTTGCCTTGTATTCTTATGTATTGACAATATAATCCAGATTACAAAGCGCAGTGTGTACAGGATCTGTCTGCACTCTGTGTCTAAACAAGATTGTCCACTGTAGCCTCAATGCTCCTCTGTGATAGGGCTACTTTGTGCTGAGCCACCAGTGCAAAATAGCCTTAAAGCCAGGACAGGGGGATATAAAGGGTCACCCCAGTACAGGGGGAACCTCAGGTAGTGCAAAGCTGGCATAAAATGGCTTGGACACCATGTAAGCCAAGGGCATCCCCAGTGATTCCTTGCAGCCTTTGAGGCCATTGGCAGTCAGTCAAAGTTATACCAGGAGATTGACCCAATACACGACCAACCCAGGATCAGGGACTCACAAAGGTGACTTAATGCCACCTGTTTACATCCTCTTTCCTAAATTGCATTGAAACTCCTTGGTCACAGTAGAGCATTGGAGCTATACGTCTAGTTGTCCTGCAGTGTTTGATGTGTATAATAAAGCTTGTAATATAGTAAAAGTATAACTGCGCTATGTCTAATCATTTTTTTCTTTTTTCTCCTTCTCAAGACCCAAGAAGTAAGTAAATTACATTTTGTAAACATGAATGACTGCCATTAACTGAATTTACGGTTTATTTAGCTAATAGCAAATACTAATAAGTGGCTTTGTTCGTTTTAGATCCAAGTCAATTAAAGTTGAAAACTTTGAGTCCTACTTTAAGAAACAGCAAGCTGACTCGAACTGTGGATTTGCTGAAGAGTACGACGTATGTATTACCAGTTGTTATGGAGTTCAGTTATTTATTTTTACAGAGGGGAAAAAATAGCTTCTCTTTGGGAAGAAGCCAGGCATTGTTTAGAGGAGAGAGAGAGAGGTGACCAGTGTCAGAGACTGGGCGTATACAAAAGATATGATTTTGTCACAGTAAAATTATTCATAATTCATGGCACAGTCATGGTAAAACATAGATAATTCCATGCTCTGGGCACTGCATCCTTGTGCACTCTGCTGCTGTGCATTCACATTTTTAGTTCGCTTTGATCTAGTCCTCTTTGTTAATCAGTGCTCATATCATGGGGGACCCTGCCGCTGCCTGCTGTCTCTGTCCCCTCTTCTACTCTGACTCCCCCAACCCTGCAGACTCTTCTCCCCAGTGCAGAGCTCCTTGAAGGGGCACAGCTGGGTCTTTGCCCCTCTCATCCCCCGGGTCCCCTGTTCTCCTGTTCTCTGCCCTCTTTACCCCTTGTAGGTTCCCCAGTCCTCAATCCCCCCTGTCCCCTTTCTTCCTGGCTCACCCACTCCCCGACTCCCTTTCCTGGCTCTCTCCTCAGCCCATTGCTGGAGGAGGGGTGGGCAGGACAGAATGCAGAAGGCTTGCACTGATTGCTGCCAAGCAGCTGGCCAGGGCACCAGGCACTGCCATTCTTCCTGCTGAGATGAAGGGGCTTGTCCAGAGCGAGGCATCGGAGCATGGGATCTGCCAGTGAAGTGTCAAGGTTGGGCATCAGGTCCCAGCTACAGACTAGGGAGCGAGACAAGAAAGGGGGTCAGGGATTGAAGCAGTACGGGATAGAGATGGGACTGGGGATCGGGCAAGCTGGGGGCAGAGAGGATCGGGGGGTTGAGGACTGGGGTACCTACAAGGGGGAAAGATGGCAGAGAACAGGAGCTATCGCCACTGGGGATGTGAGGGTGGCAAAGACCCAGGCTTTCTGGGTGTGCTGCACTGAAGAGAGGGTTTGCGAGGGTGGGGGGAATCAGAGTGGAAGTTGGGGACAGACAGGGGTAAGGGCAGGGCTAGAGAAGGCAGAGGGGGTGTTAGACACAAGGAGAGGCAGGAGTGGAGGTGTTTGGGTAAGTGCAGAAGGCTGGGGGGAGGTAGGGGGAGGGGCAGGGTCAAAAGGCAGGTTGTAAGGGCAGCGCCGGCTCCAGAGTTTTGGCCGTCCCAAGCAGCCAAAAAAAAAAGCCCCGATCGCGATCTGCGGTGGCAATTCAGTGGGAGGTCCTTCGCTCCGAGCGGGAGTGAGTGACTGTCCGCCGAATTGCCGCCGAATAGCTGGACGTGCCGCCCCTCTCCGGAGCAACCGCCCCAAGCACCTGCTTGCCAACTGATCAAAGTGAAGTAACAAACTGTTAATGCACAGCTGCAAGGTCCATATAAATGGCAAAATTCACAGTTTTGTGACGGTGGTGACTACTGTGACAGAATTGTATCACTGACAACGAATTCCCATCTGCCTTCTATTTGAAATGCAAGAGAGACATTTCAGATTCTGTGGCACTAAACCTGTCTGGGGGCATGTATGTAGCAATACTTACGTTAGCACGTAGCCTGGGGAAAGCCACTTACCGACTCCTGTGCCTCTGTCTTCCCATTTGCAAAAAGGGTGGGTGGGCATAATACTAACATTGCTACCTTCCTTACTGGGGTTTATGATACCTTAAATTGCTTTAGAGCTGTAAGTTGCTGTACAGATGCTAAATATTGTTTCCCTCACATCAATAAATATTTTTCTATAAAGTATATGTAAACTTGAAGGTAACTAGAGAGAACCCCAAACCAGGAAACAAGCCATTTGTCCAGTCAGTTATAGAAAGGTATTGAATAGCTCGATTGTCCGTATTATACAGAATATTTTTCCCTCCTCCCTGAAGCCATTCACTGGCTTCCTGTCTCTTTCCATATCAAGTTCAAACTCCTTATTTTAACGTATAGGGCACTACATAGCTCTGCCGTGCCTTCCTTTCAGGTTTTGTATCCTTCTCCAACTCCTCTAGTGTCGTATACTCCACCCTACCCCTCTTTCCTCAATGCCCTCTTCATTATCATCCCTCTTTCCTCCTCCTTGTCTTGACTCCAAACCAGCTCCACATCACTTCCTGTTCCTAAATCAGGTCCTCTTCCTGTGCACAGTTCCTCACCCTGCACAATTAGCATATGGTCTGATAGCCATAGTTCATATTCATGACCCCAATTTCAGCAAAGAAATGTAAGAAAGCCAGTGGGACTTTAAATACCTGCTGAATGGTAAGCATATACTTAAGAGCTCTGCTGACTCAGGGCCTGAGTGAACATGCAGTCACTGTTAGTCATCCATATTTTAGAGCAAGTGCAAAAATCAATTTGTGGGACGCGCATGTTTATTAATCATCCTCTCCTCCCTGTGAGGTTTGCTGCTCTCTCTTTTGCACTCTGTTTTAAAAAAGAAGATTTCATTTTATTACCACTTCTCCAAGGCCTAATTCTTCCACTACTCTAGGGACTCCATGTATGTTAGCACTGCTGGTATATCCCAGAGACTGGCTCTGCCCTGTCTTTAAACCAGTGTCATCACTAAAAAAAATTCTTTATTTTGCTATAGGAACTCAAGTCGGTGGGCATTAATCAGCCTAAATTTGCAGCTGAACTTACTGAGAACAGAGGGAAAAATAGGTACAATAATGTCTTGCCATGTAAGTCACTTCTTTTGTTTTTGCATGTTGTGTTTGTGGCTGAAAGCTTCGGATTGGGTTAGTTTTGTAACTGAAGGTTTTCAATGATAGAAGGTGCTCATGTGCTTCCAGGATGGATACTAATGTGAGTTTCAAAATAAATAAACCTGTGATAAACATTGTTCAGTTTTCCATAAGCCACAACACTAACAAAACATAAACAGCTTTCCACCAACACACATCTCGTGTGTCCATTTTGGTGGTTCATCCATGATGAAGCTCTACCCAACAAGCTTACAACGCTAAATGTAAGACTGGAGACAACAGATGATTATAGACAGGCAGGGGAGCATAAGGAAACAATGAGACAATGGTGGTCAGCATGACAGGCAGTGGTCTCTGCACATCAACAGCCTAACTGCTGTCAAGTTGGTTGTTGGCATCACAGAAAAGGGAGAGTTGAAGGAAGATAATGAGGTTGCTTTGCAGATATTTATGGGGAGCTCCTCCCAAGAATGAGGGGCAGCATGGGAGAAAGCAGGGCCATCTCGCATACACAGAATACCCAGCTCCGTAGGGCACCATGAAATTTGGGGCAGCACCAGCTACGGTAGCCAGCCCTATCCCCCAGCCGCCTCCCCCGCGGACTGCACCCACTGCAAGGGGCAGGGCCGTCCCTAGGGTGGTGTGGGGCCCGGGACAACTCACTCCACCCTGCCTCTTAGTCTTCCCCCACGGCTCCACCCCCATTCCACATCTTCCCCCAGCGATGGACGCAGCCGGGAGGATCAGGACTGCCCAGAGGATTCAGGGGGCCTGGGGCAAAGCAATTTTGGGTGCCCCTTCTATAAAAAAAATGTTGTAATACTATAGAATA